TCTTTCTCAAATCTCCTGTCACATAGTCCTTTCATCTTCTTTACCTTTTTTTCTCTTTTTTTTTCTCTACCTCTCCTTCCATCAACTTCTAACAGTTCTATTCTTCTGGCATCGTCTGACATGATCAAGCCATTGCAGTCTTTATTCTTGAATATTTTTTAAGACTCTAGTCACCCCAGTTCTTTCTGTAATCAAGTCGTTCCTGATCCTGTCTCTTCTAGTTTTACCCAACATTCACCCGACCTTTTTTTATTTTAGCTACCTCCATCTTCTTCTTCCAAATCTTCTTTACAAGCCACACTTTACTACCGAACACCAACGCAGGCCTCACCTCACTCTTGTATATATTTCCTCATTCGCTTCCATTTAAACCAAACAGCCTGTATCCTGTGGGCAATTTCTTGATTTAGTGTCCTATTTTACGTTATGTAAGAGCCAAGGTATTTAAGTTCTCCTGCTCGTTCTAGTTTTTCTCCAAGCAATTATATCTCGCTAACCATTCCTCTACGTCCTAACCACATATACTCCGTTTTTAACATGCTAATCTTGAGTCCTTTTTCTTCAACAGCCCTACTGCAACCCTCTTACTTCTCCTCTCGTCTACTAACACGATATCATCAACAAAGAATTACCCAGGGACCCCTTCCCTGTGTATGTCAGTACACAAAATTAAACAGATTAAACAAGTAAGGATTTAGTGAAGAGCCTTGATGCAAACCAACCGTCACTGGAAAACTTTCGGTGAAACCAACAGAAGTCCTTACTTTGGTATACGCTCCCTCAGACATATCATTCACCTTCACAAGCCTTACGTACATCCCAGGAACCCATTTCTCTCATACATGTCTAGGGACTTTGTCGTACGCCTTTTCAAGATCTGTAAATATCATATGTACCTTTCTCTTCTGTTCGCTCTATTTCTCTACCAACTCTTTCAAAGAAAACAAAGCTTTGTCCTTCCTACCATAAATCCAAAGTGTTCTTCTTCTATCGATGTCACTTATCATTACAAATGGCCTTATAGACAGTACACATTTTAAACTTATATGAATCTATTTAAATCGATTTATTTCAGAAAATTAATGAGTTTACCGCCATTTTCACCATCCTTCTTGTATATCCTACCTTATAAATATACTAATTAACTTAACTGTTTGTTTAATTAGTTAACGGTTTAAGTATTTTCCTTTTTAATTAAGACTAATCTATTTTTAACTAACCTATTCTAATTTTTACTTGCCACGTTCTTCCAGATCCATGCTACACGGTTGAGTTCCGTTTCCTACTGTGTAACTTCCTTTTTATGATTCTCTCTTGTAGTTAACAACCTACTAATAATTGATGTTTAGGTGTTCTGTGTCTTGCCAGTCTATTTTCATCGTTGATCGTCAAGTTCCTTAGTCTTTCATTACGATGGTTTCTTAGTTCGTTAAAGATTCCATACGATTTTTCATTCATTTTATCTAGGATCCTTATTATTTATTTTGTCTGTTGTTCTGTGCTCTCTACTTACAGAACAGCATGGTCCCTTAATTTGAGTTTTCATCCTCCTTCTTGGTTCAATTTCCTGACCGGGATGAGTGGATGGAACGATAACTGTGCTCAGAAGGTAATAGATAGGGCTTGCTCAGGCAGGATCATTTCTATCTGCTCAAGCAGTGCGAAGGACTTTATAGAGGCCAAAGTCAGCTTTAGGCTGGTTCTTGGGTGTAAGGGAGCACTGGCTGAGGTTGCGCTGACCAACAATGTCAACTTAATATGAGTACCGGTACACATACGTGAAAGGGAACAAACGGGCCACGGTGCTCATCCACTATGACTGTGGGACCCGAACCTGTGATTGGAGTGCGCTTTAGTACTGATTGGAGTAATCTCAAGGAGCTTCTTTTGCGGAGGTTATAGCACTCCTGGTTCAGTTGTAGAGGTATGAGATCGGCTAGGTTCCAGATAATGGAGCCATCCAAAAGTCTTACAACCCAACTTCTCCTTCTACATCATAGAAGATGCTCTTTGCTAGTCAGTACACTTACCGGCTATTGTAAACTCAAGATGCACGTACATCTGCTAGGATTTTCGGATGGCCCACTGTGCCATCTATTTGATAAGGAGAAGGAATTTTCTGCACATGTCTTCTGTAAGTGTCAACCGAGTCAAATCAAGGAGTTACCCCTTAAGAGAATTGTGACTTTTTGTGAGTCCACAAGGTTACCAAAGGATTAGACGTTTGGAACGACAGGAATAGCTCACATTTGGAGCTTCTGCTGATTTTAGCAGATATAGGAGTCCGAAGTAGCTTGGGTTTCAGAAACGCAGAAGCCAAGGTCCTTATGCGTCTAGTTAATATGATATGGGTGGTACAATGGAGCTGCCTTATGAAAACTTTAAATTGACTCTGTTAAATTTTTTTATCCGCTAGCGGATAGTTATTTTTCTAGTTATTTTTCTAGCTTCTTTAAGTTAATTATTATTTAACTGGGAATAAGCCACAATTAAAGATAAAAATACGTTTATTGACGTTTCAATTTCCACTTCGGAAATCGTTCTCAAAATACAAACAGTAAATTAAACAAATTTTGTTTTGTGTTACATAGTGAAAAATTCTTCTAATAATTTAATTTTATCTGACTCATTTATATTGACAATTCAGACATACATTATGCATTTTAAAGTAGACGACTTTAAAATGATATTGCCAATATTGTTGAGTTGCGCTCCTGGGACGACTTTACTTATAAGATAGTTCATTCGATTACATGAAATCAACTTTAACTTGAGAATATCCGTCAGAAAAAAATCATAGCATATAATTCGTCTTTAAAAAGACAAACACATGACATGATGACAGTAAAATTCTGCTGTTAGTAATTCCATAGTAAATTATGAGGGAAAAACCAGAAAAAAAAAACCTCATAATACTATCCCGACATGGTAAGTATTTGTTCGTGCATTTAGTTTACCTTCAATAAACACCAAAATTCTGATTTTATATGTTTCGTTATTTAAAAAAAGTAAAAAAAAACATAAATGATGTATCCTCTATATGTTACTGACTTACTAATACTGGTATTTTCTTATTAATAACTTCCTCTTTCAATATTGGTAACCAGATCCTACTACATTCTGCCGAGGAATTTGCGACACAATTGGCCTCATTTAGCATAATTAAAGCCGCTTCTTTGATTTTTCTTTTTTTACCATCCGTCTCTTTTAGGACTACATTTGAATTATTCCATTGAACCCTATGTTCATTATCCCATGCGTGTTTTATAAAAATTTACATTTTAAATAACAAAACATATAAAATCAGAATTTTGGTGTTTATTGAAGGTAAACTAAATGCACGAACAAATACTTACCATGTCGGGATAGTACTATGAGGTTTTTTCCTGGTTTTTTCCTCATAATTTACTATGGAATCACTAACAGGAGAATTTTACTGTCATCATGTTATGTGTTTGTCTTTTTAAAGACGAATTATATGCTATGATTTTTTCTGACGGATATTCTCAAGTTAAAGTTGATTTCATGTAATCGAATGAACTATCTTATAAGTAAAGTCGTCCCAGGAGCGCAACTCAACAATATTGGCAATATCATTTTAAAGTCGTCTACTTTAAAATGCATAATGTGTGTCTGAATTGTCAATATAAATGAGTCAGATAAAATTAAATTATTAGAAGAATTTTTCACTATGTAACAAAAAGCAAAATTTGTTTAATTTACTGTTTGTATTTTGAGAACGATTTCCGAAGTGGAAATTGAAACGTCAATAAACGTATTTTTATCTTTAATTGTGGCTTATTCCCAGTTAAATAGTAATTAATTTAAAATGCCACAAGAAAATAGCTTCAGAACAATACTTCTTTAAGTTGTTACCTTAGTTCAAGGAATATCTATGGATCTAAAGCACGCCCGTTTCAATCTTCTCGCTACACAAATTTCCGTTAAAAAATCAATTCCGGAACTTAATTGCAAGATCTCGTATTTTTTGAACTTATTTAATAAGAAATTTTTCGAAGACTTGATTTTGTTTTGCTGCTTTTGATAAATTAGTTTCCTGTTTAATCTAAGATATGAAGCACCACTGTCTATATGGCCTTTTCATTGGTTTTCGCATGGTCGTAAAAGTACTCATATTTTCTTCTGAAGTGAATACAAGGCGATGTGTTTACGATAATTGTTTAGTAATACGCTCTTGGTCTTGAAGAAACATTTATTGATACAGTAATTGTAACAATTATTACAATCTAAGAAGTTGACGACCTTCAAAGTAATTAAAACACTAAGAAGCAACATACAAGTTTTATAATTTTTCTAGTGCAATAAAATTAATTTAATGAATATTCTAAAAGTGCATTAGAAAAGTGTGAGGAAAATTTGTATGTTTAGTTAATATTTTTAATCATTCTAGCTTCATAATATTTGCCATTAAATTATATATATAGATGATAGAAGTTGTTAATTGAGTAAAGAGTATAGATAGAAAGTAAACAATAATATATGTTTAATGGCTCGTTAAAATATCAGTGCTAATGTTAACACTGTTGACTGTTATCCTGACAGTCTTTGATGTTCGTTATATTTTATTACATATTTGTTTCTAGTTTTAGTGCTCTATTTGATACAAGTATTTAAGAACAAAGACTAATTTTTCTTAATGAGAAGTTAATTCATCACTTAATGCATACTCTTACAACTATAATAAAACTATAAATAGTTGAATGATAATAATTTCTTTCCTTTCTACCGTATCCATGATATTTTTTGTACTACGCTCATAAACATAGTATACCTAATCACATGAAATTTTAAAATATATGTGGCAAATAGATTTGTATCCAAGCCAAAAACTAGAACACATACTAAACTACAGCTGTTATAATATGTCTTAACTACTAACTTAACTTTTACTAGTAAAATGTATTTTTAAACTGTAATTTTTATTCGTTATTCTTTTTACATCTAGATTTGCTAACTCTGCATTATGTTTTTTTTTTCAGATCATGGGTTATTACTAGGAGGACTGATTTTGACGATACATTACAGTTCGAGATTGAACTAAATTTACTGTAGCTGGGAGAAGCTAAAAATTGTAATATAAATTTTACCATGTTAAGCCAATAAATGTGACATACATACATACCAACATGTGTAATTTTTTATTCTTTTTCTTATTCTTAGTTTTACCCCAGTCGTCGAGACGAAAATGCCACTGAAGCTCTAAAAATCATACGAAACAGCTGAATTTTGCAGAGAATGTCAATTTTGAGGAGCTCACTAGTTCGCTCCCAAGGTCAAAAAAACCTCTTAATTACATACTAGTTCGCTCCGAAAACCATAACCTAGTTCGCTCCCGTGGTCAACCGGATTAAGTATTTATCTATTAAGTTCTAGGAAAATTAACACCAGGAAAATAGGTACTTCGGCTTTTGTATTTTATATTAGAAATTATATCAAATATTGGTAGTTACATATTTATATAAATACAGTGATAAGCGCGCTAATAACCGGCAAAATAACGCAAACGATGGAAAACATATGAAGTTGTAAGATAAAAGAGATGAAACTAGTAGAGATGAGAAATTTAGCGATAGAAACCTATAAGTTTACATTCTATTCACTGTTTCCCGCCTTTAGACATATCAGAGGAGGATGTCAACTGAAACTGTGACTGTCACTTGTCACAGCAGTAGTTTCCAAACTCTTACGTTTAAAGTTGGGAAACAATAAATGAGATGTAAATTTATAGGTTCTATAGCTAAATTTCCCATCTGCACTAGTTTCATTACTATTTATCTCACAAGTTAATATATGTTTTCCATCGTTTGCGTTATTTTGCCGGTTATTAGCGCGCTCATTACTGTTATGTCTTTTGAAAAATGTTAGTGATTGATTTAGAAATTATATTAGAAATTTTAAATTATTTTTAAAAATTACTGAAATAATTTTTGTGCCTATTCTAAAATTTTGGTATAATAAGAAAGCAATACAAGTGTAAAAACTAACATAATATGGGATATTATCTACCATTACAAAATTAAACAAATATAACTTAAAACGAGGCATTTATTTCGCTAGAAATCTAAATGAAATACATTTGACAAAATCAAATCTACTAATTTTATTTTGCTTTAATTCCGCAATTTTGCGATTAACAAATTTTTGGCGCTCTAGAAGTACTTTTCGGTACACTTTTTTTGGTTTCACGGAACTTCGTATTTTTATATAAGTGTCAATTTGAATATCTTTTAAAACTTCTAAAAATTGAAATATATTAGGGTGCGGATTGTAAAATAACGAATTAAATTTAGAATGGAAACTTTCACATGCATTGGTTGTACGCTCACGTGATGAACTGTTTTCGGCCCACAACTCAGGAGGTAAGTCTGCCTCTTCAGAAATATAGTTGTGCACCAATTTATTAGTCAGCAAATTGTTGTACGGCTTGGTGTTGTGAAGTTTATATTTCACTAAAGTTTAAAGCAAAACGCTCACCTACTTCTAATGGATCTAGGAAAGATAGACCAAACATATATCTAAGGTATTGTCCGACTTCATTGTCGTTTGAATACTCAGTAGCCAGACCAATTTTTTGAATTTTTCTTCACTATGATTGTCCGAGATGAAACCTACATCCTTTTATTTTCGCAGATGAAAACACTTCACTTTCAGCTGCATGGATCGGTTTTTCGAAATCGGCATACACAATTGTTAACTTATTTGAAAGCAAAAAAATATCAACGGCACATAGTGTCCATTTTCGAGTCAGTGAACTGTAAATAGTTGAATAAAAAATTTAGTGCAGTATTTAAAAGTTCCATCAACATAAATTGTTTCTAATTTAATTAAAAATGTTAAGTTAGATACACAAGAAAAAGCAACAAATTTTTTTACCGGATCATTTTTCAATAAAAATTGTTCTTTTTGGTTGGTTGTCACTTCCACGGAGTTTAACGAGTCATGTACTTCCTGCGCGCACTTCGGAATTTTGGGAATAACTTGTTTTCTACCATTACAAATATTTTTTCTAATCAAATGTACATCTTCCACAGTAAGACTTTGAGTGCCTGTTTGTTTAATTTCCCTGTGTATCAACTTCAATGGTTTTTCACACAAATCATTCATTGCCTTCCGCTTAACACTATTATTTTTTAATTTTTGCCGGTTTAACACTGTTTTTGATAAACTTTCATGGGTATGGTTAGGACTACATTCGACTACACTGTTACAAATATTTAAAGTTTTAACAAATCCTTTGAAACTTCTTTCTACACACTGCCAACGTTTGGTATTATTAGCAACCATTTTATGGAAGTTATACGTGTAATTATCAATAACCCACATTGACTTGCCCTTTTCACTGAACATTTCACTTCAGATTTCTTATCTATTTCTTATCATAAAATTTCAGGTAGACTACTACTAATTACCTACCAATCTTTTCAAAGAAATATATTAATTGCAACTTCTGATACAGAAAAACCCAATCAAATATTGAACAAGGGAATATGAGCTCTAACATCATAATACTAATGATATTATCGTTATAATTTTAATATTTTTAAGTAAGAAGTAGTGTTATATAGTAGCATTGTTTAAAGAAGATTCATTCTTTTTTAAACAATGATGGTAGTGTTGTATTAATATGTAAATACAAAGTTTGAGAAGACATTATTCAAATATCTTTTCTAAGAAATATATGGCCGGAGCGAATTTACCTATGCCCCTGTTCTGTGGGGTATTAAAATCTGACCGCGGGAGCGAACTAGTATACACCCCAATTAAGGGACTACAAAAAATATGTTTGCCACTCCTATCTCCGGTCTTCCCCTAAAACCCCGTCCCGTAAGAGGAAAAAAAGAAAAATGTCTATTTACCAAGAATCTGTAAAAATTGTTTAAAACAAGAAATGTAGTTGAGATAATTTTGAACAAAAATGTTTATTAGCACTTTTTCTGTATAATAAAAGGTTCTCTCAGAAATAGCGCTTAAAGCGAACGGCAATCTTGAATGTCAGTTAGTGCGTGAACTCAATTTTCTAAATAATTTGTGTCAACTCGACGGTAAAATATCGATATCTCTTGACCAAAGTGTCCTATCGACAAAAATCAAAATATGTTTTAAAGGTAATAATTTTATTTTATTTTATTCAGGAATTTGACAAGTTGTTACCTAATATATACAAGAAAGCCTATGTTTGATGCAAAAATGAATAGAATCTAGCACGTTTCGCGACTTAGCCACTGACGCAACACAATCAGTTACCTTTACCTTTAAACTTAGATGCCTTGCAATGTAAGCACGCTGCTTACTAAAGTAAACTGTAATCGATTGCATCAATATAATTGAATGCTGCTCAATGGCGATTAAACAAGACGTTTCCGTTGTTTTCCGATTTTCGATTCCGAATTTCGATTTCGCTCAACTTTATTTCGCGCTTCTAGCTGCTCGTCAATTTCATTTTCTCGTATCGTATTTTTTTTTTAATTTCACCATTTCCAGTTTGACGACCTTTGGGAGTATTTTTAAGTTCTAATTGGTGGTATTTTTAAGAATCAAAATTCAACAGAAAATAAAAAATTGACTTGGTTTGTAATTTTTTATAACCATGTAAACCACGGGTTAGACTATCAAATTTACCAAAAAGTGATACTAAATTAAACTTTTAATACAAGACGATAGATGATTGCGATAAATTAACTGCAATCCTTGTGAACTCTTGTTTAAAAAACTCTTCTCAAAACATTCACTAATAAATTAAAAACTGGATAAAGTTAGCGATCGAATGGACAAAGCACTACCAACAAAATGAACAGTGATGTGTTGCAAGCTATATACATATCCCTCATTACTGTCAAATTAAACAAAAGAATATTTGAACAATAAAATAAGTTTATTTAACGTAGGTATTAATTTTTTAAAATAAGAAATACGTGTTTTAAGTTGTTTAACAAAGACCTTAGGAGCTTTGCTGGTAGATGGCACAGTTGTATAAATTAAGAGGTGAAATACCTACTTAAAATAAAATATTTTAAATATTTTACTTTTCTTAATATGGTAATTCTGCTTAATATTACTAATATAATATCAATAATTTAAATATAAATACCCTTTGTTCCATTTGCTCCCAAAAATTTCTGCAACAAGCCATAATTTCTCCCAAACTAAACAGTTAGGTAACTCAAAATTTGCTATTTTTCAGGAGAGCAGTTTTAAATTTGAAAAGAAACAAAACGTGCTGTATTACAGTAAATGAATTTTTTTCTTACTATTTATAGGAAGAAGTTGAAATAAATCTAACTTCTGATTAATTGTAAGCGTTCTAAAGCCTAGTTTTAGTTATTTTTTTATTCAAAATCAAGATATCTAGTTGTAGCTATTAAAATTTAAAAAAAAAATTAAATATACCTAGTTGTCGACGTAGCAATAAGTACAACTTTTTTTATAGCAAAAAAGACATTTATTAACATTTTGATCAAAATATAACAAAAAAAGTAGAAGAACTTAACTAATAATTATAGCCAATATTTTTCTTTCACTCGGTCTCACTTATGTCAGATTCACTTGATACTTCTCTTCCTGTTGCTTTAAAAGGCAGGTTTTCAAAATAATCCTTATTTTCCAGAGGAATTGCGGGAGGTTTAGTATTAAACAATGTCAATAGATCCTTGTATTTTTCCAGAGTAATAGGGATTTTGTCCTTATACAAAGGATTTGGCATTATTGTAGTTATATTTTGAGTCGATTTTGTCCTTCTCTGGCAATCTAAAGTTCTAAATTCTTCGTTAAAGTTTTCTTTAAATTTCATAATGGATGGTTCGCATTTAGAAAAGAACATACAACACTTTTTCTGCCATGCTACTTGCTGCCTACTTTCGTCCTTACCTCTGAAAATTAAAATTTTATCCGCGTGATTTTTCCAATCCAATATTTGTTCGTGACTAATGTTATGAATGATGTACGGTTTATCTCCTTTTCTCCGGGCACATCTAGCAATTGTTTTCCAGTCTTGTGATTAATGTGTTTTGCCCACTCTTTTGAACTGTGTTGAAATGGCTGAGTGCATGGAGTCGCTCCATTTCACTATGGCCGGAAACTAGAAAGTTTAGTTCAATGCTTTCCAAATGTGGAATATGTTGAACAGCTG